TCTATAAGCAGAGAGATAGAGATCTCAGTGCACTGCATTTGTACTGTGGAGACGCAAATCTTTTTTACCCAGCAGTGTTTTGACCAGCAAATAATATTTTCAGTCGACCTGAAATCACATACCAACATGAAACGGGTGTTGAAATAATATGTACACAAAATTAAAGGTGATAGATAATGAATGGTGGATATTTTTCACATCTCAGCGGTACTTCAAAAAAATCAAATAACATTAGAGCTTCCCTCTTGTGGTTATGCTTAATATGCTGCTAAAGAGTATACCAGAGGAAATTTGACATTTTTACAGTGTTTACATTTTAACAAGAAAAAGAAAAAGAGTTGTGCTTGACCATCCAAAAGTTGCTGCCACAACGACATGGTGGTTGTCAGGCTGCTGTTCTTATGCTGGGGGGTTGGTTTTTCGGTGTTACTTATTGTCCGAATTGTTACTTATTTTTTTTCATGACTTCACATCAAGTCGCCCATGTTAAGGTACAATCCTTAGAGGTTCATCTTTTGTGGGGTCAAACGTGCGAGCTTACAGTAACTAGCCCAGGGCTGCATTTCCCAAAAACATTAAAAGCCTAATCGTACAACCATTGCACCAATGGTCTCTATGATCAACTTAGCTCATGATGCTTTTGAGAAACGCATCTCCCAGGTTTTTAACCTCTAAGCCACACCATCTTATAATTGCTCAGTTCATTCTGTGGGTAGAAACACTCAAAGCTGCATTAGATCTGCAATGTTTCTGTGAGTCTCAGTTTGAGTAATCCCCAAAAGTTCCCAAAAATGTTCAGTTTGAGTAATCCCCAAAAATCTGGTTAGATCACCACACTTAAAAGTCTACATGAAAGAAAGGTAAAGTTATTCTTTATTCTCATTTCATATAGAAAATTTGCTACAGTTTTCCAGTATAGCAGCCAGAAATTATATTAAATTAAATTTTCACATTTAATTCCATAGCGCTTTTCACAATATATATCTTTTCAATTCGCGAAACGGGATCCCAAGTTAGAAACAGAAAAGCAGATGGAAAATAATTAGCATAGCTGCTGTTCATAAAATTTCAAGCAAAATATAATCGTCTGTGTTTAATCTGATATAACTGGAGTACAAGGTTATGTGATGCATTATGTGAATGCTTGGCTAAAGAGATGCATCTTTAATCTAGATGGGAGAGTGAGTCTGAGCCCCGAACATTATCAGGAAGGCTATTCCACAGTTTAGGAGCCAAATGTGAAAACTCTCCTTTGAAATACATTTATTTTATACTAAGTATACTTCAAATACATTTACATATGTATGTACTTAAAATAGGCTAAAAGCCCTACAATTGTACTTTTGGTATACTTTAGTACTTTTACTTAAAGGACAACTCCGGCGCAAAATGAACCTTTGGTCTAATAACACATTGGTACCTAGTCGACCGTTTTCTGGGATTTGTTTTCATGATAATCAAATGTAAAGAGTTTTATCTCTAAAAACTGTTATAATGCTAGTATATAGGGCATAGAATAAGTAAAAAGAAATCGCTAGTTAATATCACTAACAAGGCTCAAAATAGCCCCACACAGTAACATAATGAGGGTCACTACATGCGAACCGAAGCATTGAGAACTTTGTAATTGTACAGAGTTGAATAAGAAGATACTTTATAAAGACAATACACTTCGCGTATACAGCCAGGAGCCATCTTGGAAAACAGTCTCGACCAGTCGAACCACGAACGCCGTTCGAGCGAGCTGGTCGATCGGAAAGTGAGGAATTACGTTTGTGAAATTCCATGGAAATGCATGAATTATATCTGTTTATTAAAATATACGGGTGACTAACTACAAGGGAAAAAGGGGTCGCATACTTTCATATGAGATTCCAAGTCACAGTTCAGCTCACTTGGCACAGCGTTCGTGGTTCGACTGGTCGAGACTGTTTTCCAAGATGGCTCCTGCCTGTATACCCGAAGTGTATTGTCTTTATAAAATATCTTCTTATTAAACGGTCTGTAGACTTACAAAGTTCTCAATGCTTCGGTTCGCATGTAGGCTAGTGACCCTCATTATGCTACCATGTTAGTGTGGGGCTATTTTGAGCCTTGTTAGTGGTATTAACTAGCGATTTCTTTGTACTTATTCTATGCCCTATATACTAGCGTTATAAGGTTTTTAGAGATAAAACTCTTTAGATTCGATTATCATGAAAACAAATCCCCGAGAACGGTCGACTAGGTACCAATGTGTTATTAGACCAAAGGTTCATTTTGCGCCGGAGTTGTCCTTTAATATCACTATTAGTATAAGGATAGTATGATCTCTGTACACTCACCTAAAGGATTATTAGGAACACCTGTTTAATTTCACATTAATGCAATGGGCTATATGCACGCATAACTTCCGCGTTTGACGCAAGGATGCTCGTGCGTTTCCGGTTGGGGAGATTTAAAGCGGAGGAAAACCGAGGAAAACGGTATTATGGCAGAGTCTTCAAAATTGACTGTCCTCTCGTCTTTGAAACGAAACTTTAATACGTTTAGATGTAATTTTATATATAGTTATGTTTATTTAATATAATAAACACAGAAGCGTAAACAAAATGAGGAGTGTCTGACTCTGTTTTGTCTGTTTTTGTGACTAACGTTTCTTTAGTATAGCAATAGAGTATAAAAACCAATATAAATTCTCGGTATAGCATTGGACTCTACGATCGGCGGAAGTAATCCAGCATCCTTAGACCTTCACCGGAAATACCGCCGTGCATAGAGCCCATTATCTCATCAACCAATCACATGGCAGTTGCTTCAATGCATTTAGGGGTGTGGTCCTGGTCAAGACAATCTCCTGAACTCCAAACTGAATGTGAGAATGGGAAAGAAAGGTGATTTAAGCAATTTTGAGCGTGGCATGGTTGTTGGTGCCAGACGGGCCGGTCTGAGTATTTCACAATCTGCTCAGTTACTGGGATTTTCACGCACAACCATTTCTAGGGTTTACAAAGAATGGTGTGAAAAGGGAAAAACATCCAGTATGCGGCAGTCCTGTGGGCGAAAATGCCTTGTTGATGCTAGAGGTCAGAGGAGAATGGGCCGAATGATTCAAGCTGATAGAAGAGCAACTTTGACTGAAATAACCACTCGTTACCTGAGTATTGTTTCTGACCATGTCCATCCCTTTATGGCCACCATGTACCCATCCTCTGATGGCTACTTCCAGCAGGATAATGCACCATGTCACAACGCTCGAATCATTTCAAATTGGTTTCTTGAACATGACAATGAGTTCACTGTACTAAAATGGCCCTCACAGTCACCAGATCTCAACCCAATAGAGCAACTTTGACTGAAATAACCACTCGTTACCTGAGTATTGTTTCTGACCATGTCCATCCCTTTATGGCCACCATGCATGTACCCATCCTCTGATGGCTACTTCAGGCAGGATAATGCACCATGTCACAAAGCTCGAATCATTTCAAATTGGTTTCTTGAACATGACAATGAGTTCACTGTACTAAAATGGCCCCCAGTCACCAGATCTCAACCCAATAGAGCATCTTTGGGATGTGGTGGAACGGGAGCTTCGTGCCCTGGATGTGCATCCCACAAATCTCCATCAACTGCAAGATGCTATCCTATCAATATGGGCCAACATTTCTAAAGAATGCTTTCAGCACCTTGTTGAATCAATGCCACGTAGAATTAAGGCAGTTCTGAAGGCGAAAGGGGGTCAAACACAGTATTAGTATGGTGTTCCTAATAATCCTTTAGGTGAGTGTATAACATCAGTCTTTAAATGCAAGATATTTTAAGTGTACCTTAAATATTCTTGCAATAGTTTCAAATATACTTAATTATATATTTAAGTATATTTAAATATATATAATATCAAATATACTTAATTATATATTTGGACCTCAGCACTATTTCCGGGTATAAATTGCATTAAGTACAAAATAAGTTGTTCCAATTTAGCAGACTTTAAAACACATTTTAGGCTTAATATCAATAAACGTGCATGCATTGTGCAATAAAGAAGTACTCCAAAAAAGTTGAATTATAGTATTTATATTAGTAAGTCTCGAAGCGATATGTCAGTAAATATATTAATGAATTTGTAGTATACTTAGTATGAAATAAATATATTTTAAATACATTTTGGTATAGGTTTTCAGTCTAGGTCATATTTTCTTTTTACATTGCGCAATTTCATCCCTGCTTTTTAAATGAAGGTATGTCATGCAACCTGTCCGTATTGACATCTGCCTAATTTGGCTGGCTTGGAGCAAATGACAGATGAATTTACATCAAAAAACCATTTGATTGGACACATGGCCTTTGATGTCAACCGCAAAAGAAATGGGAAACCTTTTCTCCTCCATTCTAAAATCTTGTTTATTTTGTTCAATGAATTTTTTTATTTGCTTTTAGCTATTTTCCTTGCTCTCATTTCAGAAAAAAACAACAAAAATTTGGGCCATGACCACCAGTTTCTCTGTAATGCAGTAGAAATCCAATAGGATAAGGTAATGGACATCTTGCTTGAAGTCCAGGACAATGGGCACAAATGCAGGAGGGTCTGCTTTGAAGTCTTAGATGCAAACACTGTTTGCAATTTAGGCTTGGCGATAATAACAGACTATTCAACAACATACAGCTATTCATTTTCCCTTCAGTTCATTAATTGCATGCCAGACCAGTGATGAATTGATGACTTTCATATAATTGGGCTTCATGATGAACGCTTAATCGATTCTTCCTAGCTTGAGCCTTTTGTTTAAATACTCAAAGAAACTCCATACAAGTCTTTAATGAACTGTAGGGAAATGAAAAAAAAAAAACTCCATTATCCACTGAAACATATTTTAAAGCAGTGAAATATGAAGCGAAAGTTTATAGGTTTAACACCGCAAACATGTGGACTTGACCTGTGACGGTAGCAAAATAGGGTGTGTGTTTGTGGTAGTGAGTGCATGTGTGAGGCATGATGCTCGAATTCGCCCCGTAGTGGAAACCACATGCAGCAACTGCACAAGCACCAAAGGCTGAAGGTGCAGGGTCACGATCATCAGTCAGAGTAACGGAGAGTTACGGGACGAACACAAATCTTTGGCTGTTAGGCTGACTGACTGAGAGATGCCGCTTCTGCTGCTGTGTGTTGCTCTCCAGGCTTTGTCCTTTTCTCAAGGTAAAATGGTTCTGCTGTATGGTTGTGTAGGCAGACTGGGTCTTTCATCTAAAAAGCTTGTGTTCAACTGCGATATTACATTCTATATTCAAATTTTTTTTTAACAGTCTAATATTTCATTTAAAAAGTCTATTAAGTTGATGATACTTGAGTAGAGAGGTTGTGCAATTCTCAAAGGCTGTTGCACAATTCATAAATAGCTCTTGAGAGACAATCACTATCATAGATGGAAAATCAAATGTGCACTTTCAATCAAAAGACTTTTTTTGTAAGACATGCTTTGTGGTTAAAACAAAGTTCAGTTTAACTAATGCAGCACAATGCAATCTGAAGCCTTTTTTTTTTGACAAAAGAAAGTACATCGATGCCTCGGCTCATTACGACGCTTTTCCAAAGAGCTGTTTGCACAAAGTGCAACCAGAGATTGGTTTATGCACTTCAGTGTACTGTGACACATTGGTGAATAAATAAGCTGAACTTCACTGGAGATTGAATGAAGAAAGATGACTTCATTTCATTTGTAAGTCAAATGCATAAGATGGCTAAAAATAAAAAAACCATATCATATCGCTGAATTTTCGTTCATTGTCAGTTTTAGTTTTTGTGTCCAACAAGCTGCAGATGTTATTAACATGGTAGACATTTTACAATGCCTTATAGAAAAGTGTTTCAATAGTAGAATAAGACAAATGTTATATTTTTCTTCAGTGTTTTGCTGTGAAGAATGCATAGCGCAGATGGGATCCGGACAGAAATAGTGCCTCATAATACAAATACAAATTGTGTTTGGATGAATACGATTGGTCAATATAAAATAACTGTTAATCTGAGAAAAAGTTTGCAAATAATCTCAGTATGTCTTAAAACATTCTCACAAATATTTTTTTTATTTGTTCATTTTTATATCATAATTAAGTCTCTCATTTTGTAATACAACAAATATAGTGTCCTCCTAAAGCATATGAAATTATTAATTATAAACCTAAACTTATTACATTTATTTGATCCTGCGAGAATAATTTTTTCTTTCTAAATTAAGCGCCAAAAGCGGACAGGCATCATGACATTTTTGTAATACAAATGTGTAATTTTAGATTCCCTGAGAACATTTAAATAGTGTCACAAATGCGTTTTTTAAAATCAATTTTATTCTGTGACTTTTTTGAGTATAATGACCAAGACGAGCATCAGCTCCGAGTTTCTGCCGTTTATGTGAGACAGATGGAGAAACTAAGGTGTTGAAATGCAACTAAGCGGTGTTGAAATACCTGATCAACAGCCATTTTATGTAGTCTGTTTTAACACAGCAGGCTTTCAAGAATTAGTCCTATAGTTATTAATCACTACAATGACTTAACTTTATTATTAGGTCTCCTTCATATTGTGTAAAACTGTCAAATATCTACGTTTACTTCACACCACAGGACATTGTAGGCCTAAATTTATTTATTTTTCCACCATGACAAAATCTTCAAATGCGAACTTTGTAGACAACTTTGTAACCCAACACAAACATTACCGAAGTTTTGCAGAACATCATTTTTGTTGTTTTTATGTTGAGCTGAGCTCTTTTAATGCGTCTTGTTCAACAGTGTGTCATTGCTGTTGTCTTTGATGAATATTGTCTTTGTAGACTGTGAAGAATTACAGCAGATTGGAAGATGTTAGATTTGAGAGCTCTGTTCTACTTTTGCACTTAATTGACAGTTTTTGCCCTCTGGCTTCAAGCAATATGTTCTCAGCAAAACTCATGGTGTTCATCTTGTCTTCTTCAGGGCTCAATGGTACAGATGACCTTCCTTCCAAGAGTGTGGCAAAGCATGCTGATCATTCAGACAAACAGAGTAAGTTGAATGATTTCTACTACTCTTAAGAAAACTTGTGCCTTTCCTTTGAAAATATGATGTCTAGATCAGTGTTATCAGTGTGTGCAGTTAGCAGCAATCTCACGATGATCAAAAAAAAAAAAAGCTCACTTATTTAAAAGTGGGCCACAAGCCGTTAATCAAGATGTTGATGAACAATATGCATGAGAACAGTGTTTGGGGTAGGCCTGCTGAGACCCACCTGCTATCATCAAACAGAACAGAGAAAAGAGATCAGCAAGACTGCAAAAAACTGAGAGCAATCTACCACCCCGGAGACAGCCGCTTCATTTTTTTTTTGCGCCGTAGAATTCATTTTAAAATCATTAAGCACTGTTTAATATGTGCAAGTAAATGCCCTACACAATCACACAGACATCAGACATGAAGAAGGTAAGGAAAAGTCCCACAGAAAAGTCCTTGCACTTAATTGGAAGACCGTTGTCTCTCGACTGTATCCAACAATTAAACATAATAATGTCGTCATTTTGACAATCTATTGTTGAATTGCTATTCCATTGACAGTCCGTTAAAATGATATAATTGGTAATTAATTTTAACTATCCAAAATGTAGTTTTACATTATAATATTGAACAATTCTGACCCTTTCTACAGCATTATGGGAAGACGAGTAAATAATCTCATTCCATTTTCCCAATTTGTAAAAATATTGCTTTGTTTATGGTATTCATGAACCCTGTTATTCAAGTTATTGTGAAAAATTCTATTTTATCAAAATATAAATGATCTTCTTGAAAGTGTAATTTTATTTACTTTATTAGTTTGCATCCAAACTAAGCACAGTAAGTCCCTATTAAGTGATATTTTTTATTATTTATTTTACACATTTTGATAGTTATTTAATGTTTAAATAAATAATGGTTTATTTGGTATTATAAAACGGATAGTGTCTGTCCTTGATTCCGATTGGTTGAGCCGTGTTCAAAGCTCATTACATCAGTATTACTTTATACAGTATTATTCCACTCACAACTATTTTTCACACCACAAATTGTTAATAGGGTTGCAAACATTGGAGAAAATTAACAGAAAATAAAAAGACTCTCATATCATTTTTAATTTGACCTCCTAAGGGTTGATGATTAACATTTTCAACAGATTTCGGCACCTCCTGTCATCGACCATTTGGTAAACTTTTTTTGAGTGTCAGAACCTATTTTGTACCCTATTTGTGGAAAGTGTGAGATATCTATGATTCTGCATCAACTGCTACATTACCAAGAGTGGGTCTGTAAGATTTTGTTTTGTTGAAATCCATCTTTTATGCTGACCAAGGCTGCATTTATTTGATCAAAAACACAGCAAAAAATAATGCTGTAAAATATTATTTCAATTTAAAAGAATGTTTTCTATTTTAATATATTTTAAAATGTCATTTATTCCTGTGATGGCAAATAACTCGAGTCTTCAGTTTCACATGATCCTTCAATCATTCTTACATGCTGATTTGGTGCTCCAGAAGCATGTCGTATTAATAACCATGTTGAAATCAGTTTGTGGAAACCTTGATAAACAAATTTCAGAATTCTTGGATGAATAGAAAGCATGGCATTCATTTGAAATAGAAGTTTTTTGCAACAATGTAAATGTCTTAACTGGCACTTTTGATCAATTTAAAATGTTTTTCTGAATAAAAACAAAACAAAAAACGTACTGACCCAAAACCTTTGAACGGTAGTGTATTTCACCACCAACAGTGGAACATCAGACCAGTGACCTCTCTGACCCCATTGAAAGTCACCCTAAAGAAAGACCTTCAGAATGAATCCACTCCACAAACAGAATACACAGACACAATCTGCATCCTGTAGTCATAAATCAGGAGAACTTCATATGCTCAAACCACACTGTGGAGGCAATGTCATAAACTTTCTAAAAAAAAAGTTCTTTCCCCAGTGTCCTCCATGCTACAATATGACATTTCCACAGGAAGTGACTCACGGGATGTGGCGGTGTTGCAGTGTACTGCTACAACGTTTTGCAACACAAAACAATGCCCCACGGTTTACATATTCACTTTGCCGTTTGGATCTAAATAAAAGTCTAGTGCTAGAAATACACACTGAGAACAGAATTAACACTCAGATAAGATCAATGCCAGGATGCGATGCTGGAAAAGTTTCTGACTCAACCCAGCATGCTGTGAAGATATAAATGTGAATCATCTACCCTAACTGTTCCTATCATTCTCATGAATTTACTCAATGAAATCAATTATGTCCCTTTTCCCCTTCTGAACTAGTTGAGCTCTCCACACTAAGTCTGTCCAAGGGCTGCTCTGGTGTGCTCAGGGCTCTTCACCAGAACACTACAGTCCATGTGACCCTCAATCTTCTGGATGCTGAGGAAAAGAAAGAGCTTGCTCTCCAAATCTGTGAACTTTTTGGTTGTGGCCACGGTTTTGAGATCGGCACGACTGCACCGGTGCACAGTGGCACTTGTCTTGCAGACTGCATCTTGAAAGACTCAAAACTGCACAACTGCACTACAGCCGCAGAAGGCGACTGCACAAATGCAACTGAAGTAATTTGCGGTGAGTCATCTGAGATCTTCTCTGAGATGTTCTGATAAGTGCTCTACTTTTGTCTCAATGCTTTAATTGTGATTTGTTCGGCCTAACCTCTGTCCTCCAGAGGCTGTCAAATTGATCGGAGGACGTGATCGCTGTGCAGGACGGGTGGAGCTGGTGCATTTTGGGCAATGGGGAACGGTGTGTAACGAGTATTTTGACATCAAAAGTGGACAAGTAGTATGTGCTCAGCTGAGATGTGGCAGTGCAATAAGAACGGCCAATTTTGGGGCCGGCAGCGGAGCCATCCACATCAGCAAAATGAAATGCAACGGCACAGAGAGCAACTTATGGGAGTGCGGCCCCATCGACAACACTGTCAACTACTGTGGACATAAGGAAGATGCTGGCATTGTGTGTTCAGGTACTATACACATGTACACTTAATGGGCAAGTGCTTCATAACATAAAACACCACTCTTTTGTACACAAAGAAAGAACATTGTGTGAATTCAAGTTTGCAACCCATTTTACTTCCGTAATGTGGCATATTTCGGAGTTAAACAGGATTTTCAATTAGAAAATATGTAGGGTGGGAATTGATTGGACATAGCAAAATGGTAATTTGTTTAAACAGTATTTAATAGGCATTTGGCAATTGTTTAACATTATCCAAGCAGTCCACAAGGCCTGAATGATGTCAATTGAAAGGAAAGCAAGTTATTATATTTAGATGAAAGATTACAAAGATTTTATTTGGAATAACATGCACGGATGAATCGTGCAGTAGGAAAGTAAAAAGGTGCAATTTCATTTTCATGTTGACATTTGATGTGTAGACATTCACTGCTTCCCAATTCGCCTACTTATACTATGGCCTTATACTATACTAAGAACATACTTTTGAGTGTGTAGCAGAATAGTAGGCAAGCTTTTGGACATACTACTTAGTCATAATTATTTGAACTGACAGCTCTGTTGCTTAGATACGTGCATCCTGTCCCCGTTTAAAATGCCTTGTCAATCATCTTGTCAGAGTTAAAATCCTCCACATTCCGTTTAATTTAATTTCCTACCATTTTGGAGAGCACGTTGATCTGCCAGGCATGTGTCTCTCGTGTGGAGATTGAGAACTCTCCTCATGTGTTTGCATAATGATGCATTTAAAAGTTGAGAATCACAATGCTATTGTAGATTAAATATATGGTGGACAACAATGAATAAATATTTTTTCACTAGGTTAGGATTATTAATCGCTCAAATCCTTTATCTACTTAACCGTCGGACTCGCACATTCGCCACATTTGTAGTTTTTAACACTTTTTGTAGTTTGTAGTTCTAATCGAATCCTCGTCTAATGCACATTGGGTTGTGGGCAATATGAGCCATTAGAGTGTGTATGGATCTGCACTTTGAATTCTAACTGGAAAAAGTAGACCATCCAGGTGTCTTTGGAATACTCTTTTTAACATACTATGATTTGGGACACACTAATTCTAATTTCGAACCCTACTTAGGATGGATGGTATGCGAATTGGGATGCAGGAACTTACTTTTTGAGCCAAATGTTACATTTCCTGTGTGTATTTGAGGTTGTAGTATGTGACCACTTGAGGTGGAACGTTAACATAATTTGTTTCAGCTCTTAGTCTCAGTTGTAGGTCAGATTTAACTTTTTGGGGTGGATGGACATAATTTCCACGTCAGTTGGTCTGAAAATAGGTTAAAAGTAGGGCAGGCTTACAACAGTATTTCTGAAATGTCAAAGCACACATATATAAGCTTCAGCTTGTTAGTGTTTTGTTGTGAAATCCTGAGTGACAAGTCTTGTATTCCTTTGATGTATCCAGTGGATTAAATGTCTTTCATACAGAAAGTGTTGAGATCACACCCACAGGGAGCATAACCGAGCTGGAGTTAACAACACTGGTGGCAGGTGATGCTTCAGTTTCTTCTTTTTCAAAAGAGAAAATGAATGAAAACAAGATCTGCATGATTTCTGTCAATAAAAACCTTCTCTGTTCATTTTAGTGTCAACCGCAGTGGCAGTAACAGAGCGCAGCAGTGGAGTTTCAGCAGCAGCGATTGGCTGCATCATCTTATCTATTGTTTTACTTATGTTTATTATTATAAATACTGCTGTCTGTGTGCATTTCAGAAGAGCAAAGGGCAAGTACATTATAATCACTTTTTATATTCAAAAGAACTCATCACAAATTTAAAGATGACAAAATATCAAAGTGGTATTGGAAAAGAAATAACAAACAAGTTTTTTTACAACTAAATGAAATAGATTTTCTAACTCCAAGAACATCTCTGAGTAGTAGTACAACACTAGCTTTTAAAAAATATGTTATTGTTATAAACTTCAAATTAACTCATTTATTGGCCAAGTTCTGTGTGCATTTAGTGCATTCCATCCAAATATCAGGAAATGCTTCAAACCTTTTGTGAACCATTTCTTTTGACATTAGTTACTACAGCAATACAAAAGCTTAAGGCAGAGGCTTAGTGCTGCATGGGGAAGTTTAAGTCATTCTTTTTCATCCTCTTTGCCAACAGCATGTGTGATTCATCAACATCACAGTAATTCCCACACAAGCCTGCAGGACCAGTCCAATGTACAGATAGGAGTCTATAACACACAAATTGTCTCGGCTGTCAGGGGGCAGCAGTACGGTTTGTATTGCAATATATTTGTTTTCTTCATCCTCATAACATGGCTATTTCTTTTTTTTTGTATTTAGTTGCCTACATATCGATCTGTCGATTTTAATCGATTCTCAATTACAATTTTATTACGAAATTCAATTAATGAATACCGATTTGGCGCTCTTTAATGTGACATGACAGATCGCTTTTTTATCCGTTCAAGAGAAGCACAGAGAGCTCGTGAATAGATCATCTCTTCCGTTTTACTGCTAATTATAGCACGAATCAACATCAGAAGGTATGTTGAAAAATACAGTACAAATCTGTTTAATGTCTCGAGCTCAATCAGTGTTTCAACCATGGAAAGATGTCAATAAAACCGCTAATTTATATGTTTGTATATAAATCAGTTAATTTTAACCTTTAATACTATAGTAATGTACCAACTAACAGGGTTCTTTGATTAGTTTACAGCATTTGAGATATTTTTCCCTTGAGAAAATTCGCCATATTCTGTACATGATATGTAAATTAATCAAAATCAAATTAAATCGGAATTAAATCAAATCACAAGTTCAATACCCAATACATCAATACCCAGCCCAACCCATATTTAGTAATTTTTCTAATTTATTTCACAAAATATGGGTTAAACCACATTAGATCTGTAATTTTATATATATATATATATATATATATATATACACTCACCTAAAGGATTATTAGGTACACCTGTTCAATTTCTCATTAATGCAATTATCTAATTAAGCAATCACATGGCAGTTGCTTCAATGCATTTAGGGGTGTGATCCTGGTCAAGACAATCTCCTGAACTCCAAACTGAATGTGAGAATGGGAAAGAAAGGTGATTTAAGCAATTTTGAGCGTGGCATGGTTGTTGGTGCCAGACGGGCCGGTCTGAGTATTTCACAATCTGCTCAGTTACTGGGATTTTCACGCACAACCATTTCTAGGGTTTACAAAGAATGGTGTGAAAAGGGAAAAACATCCAGTATGCGGCAGTCCTGTAGGCGAAAATGCCTTGTTGAGGCTGGAGGTCAGAGGAGAATGGCCCGACTGATTCAAGCTGATAGAAGAGCAACTTTGACTGAAATAACCACTCGTTACAACCGAGGTATGCAGCAAAGCATTTGTGAAGCCACAACACGCACAACCTTGAGGCGGATGGGCTACAACAGCAGAAGACCCCACCGGGTACCACTCATCTCCACTACAAATAGGAAAAGGAGGCTACAATTTGCAAGAGCTCACCAAAATTGGACAGTTGAAGACTGGAAAAATGTTGCCTGGTCTGATGAGTCTCGATTTCTGTTGAGACATTCAGATGGTAGAGTCAGAATTTGGCGTAAACAGAATGAGAACATGGATCCATCATGCCTTGTTACCACTGTGCACGGTGGTGGTGGTGTAATGGTGTGGGGGATGTTTTCTTGGCACACTTTAGGCCCCTTAGTGCCAATTGGGCATCGTTTAAATGCCACGGCCTACCTGAGCATTGTTTCTGACCATGTCTATACCTTTATGGCCACCATGTACCCATCCTCTGATGGCTACTTCCAGCAGGATAATGCACCATGTCACAAAGCTCGAATCATTTTTAAATTGGTTTCTTGAACATGACAATGAGTTCACTGTACTAAAATGGCCCCCACAGTCACCAGATCTCAACCCAATAGAGCATCTTTGGGATGTGGTGGAACGGGAGCTTCGTGCCCTGGATGTGCATCCCACAAATCTCCATCAACTGCAAGATGCTATCCTATCAATATGGGCAAACATTTCTAAAGAATGCTTTCAGCACCTTGTTGAATCAATGCCACGTAGAATTAAGGCAGTTCTGAAGGCGAAAGGGGGTCAAACGCAGTATTAGTATGGTGTTCCTAATAATCCTTTAGGTGAGTGTGTGTGTATATATATATATATATATATATATATATATATATATATATATATATATATAATGAGATTGTAATTGCCATAAACATGAAATGTTTTGTAATTTCTGTAATGGTCAAACTTTACATTTAATGTAAATGCGCACTTTCTGTTTTTCATTCCTCAGAAAGTCTTGGCCCGAGAATGAGCTCAAACTATGGCCGTAAATTCAACAAGAGATTAAATCAACCCACTCACAACTCTGACACTGATTCAGACTATGAACATCAGAACAGCATTCGACCGCAAGGACTGCATCTAAACAACTCACCAAGTATGCCGCTTTAGTAGACAACACTTCTACTGCAAATGACCACTAATATATAATCAGTCCTTATTTAAAATGACACGCATCAAGAAAAGTCGCAACAGAGAATCAGTCAACAGATACTACTGGCATAAGCCATTTTTACATTAAAAAAAAAAAAAGTCTGTTCAGGTCAGTGGAGAATTTTTTTCCCTCTGTACTTTAGTTCATATTAAACTAAACCACTATCAGTGCAACTACTGAGCACTTCAGCTCCAGCTTCTGAAATCTCCCTTATGAAACAAGTCAAAGTATGTTTTGTTGTGAGAGCAGATGTACAAAAGTGCCATCAACAGCCTTTCTATATTGCAAGTTCCAAGTCCTCGATATTTCTGTCCCAGCAGAGGTAGTACTTTTTTTCGTATTGGTTGTAAATTTCCATTTGGCCAGTAGTACTTTGTTAAAGAAAAGAAAAATCCTAAATAGTCGTTAAAGATTATATTATATAGATTATATATCAAAGTATATTGGGCCCTCAGAGCCAAAGCAGTGGAGTCTGAGAATTTCTCACAAAAAACAACAACAAAAAACTCATCATTTGATCCCATTTGCATATGAATATTAAAATGTAGGATCTGATGTTTTATCCGGGTATTATTATCTTTACATTTAGATGTATGGCAGAAGGCAATGTGACAGAAGATCTACTGTATGCGGGTTCTGGAGTTTCCTGTTGAAGTCTGGACCATTTTTATATTTTGCTTAAAATAAGTATCTACTAAAAACAAATCAACAATGTTCATGATAATTAAAACGCTCTCATCTTGAGCCGAAAACAAAGTTATTTCAAAGTTTTAGTTGTCTTTCCATGCCATCTACAAACAATTTCCCTAATTATAACATAGTTTTTTATGAAATGCCCTTAACATGCTGATTAATAATGCTAAATGTATAGATGAAAAAACAACAAAAACTTGTTTATTTGAATTGTCAGTCATATACATTATGTATGATCGATAAAAATAATTGAATTTGCTGCATTTTCACTGTGTTTTTGCCGTTGTTTGAATAACCGTTTCTGCTGCAGCTCTTAATCTGGCGCTTCTTTAGCGGGAGAGAGAAGCTTAGCGAACGGAATGACTTGAATGAAGTGTGTTTGGCTCTAGATAAAAATATTAGAGGATATAGCGCCGAAAGATCATTACCTTGAGCGACCATGAGCGCTTGTGTTGTGCACTGTTCCGTTGTTTTGACGCACCGACTTCTCACTTTAAACTGTAGAAACGGTAATATTGTGTTACCGTTGTCATCATGTCTCGGGGTCCGTTTGTGACAAGCCAGGGTCCGGAACCGGAGCCGGAGCGCGGTCCGCTATTTGAGGACCCCTGATTTATGGTATCAGAAATATGCTTTTGTTTTTATTTTTCACACACAAACAATTCAATATTCAACATAATATTCAATTCAGTGCAACACTGGCATTTGATCTTGTCTGAGATCTTTCATAACACTCATGTCAGGATGTGATGGTCCTACCTTTTCACTTATACAAAGAGACGAGGAAATACGTTAGCCGACATGGGTAGGTTCCATATGAATAGAAATAATAAAGTTCGGTCAAAAACTGTGGCAATTTTGCTTAAAAGTTTAGCATTTCAAAATAGTTCACTAGTTTTTCTGTTTTAGCATTGTGGACATATCACATAATCTTGTTAAAGTCAAAGGCTCTGCATTAAAGGATAAGCAGTGACTTGTGAAGAACCACATTTGATATGTATGAATTCTTCTTCACTGTCTTGCAGGAGATATGAATGATGTAGACAGTACATGGCATGGAGAAAGATATGCACACAACGTGGAAATCAACATGGACACCTTCAAGTCAGGTATGAACAAATAAATCAATCGGATTCATGGGATATTTTACTCTTACCAAAAATGACCTGTATTTTATTGTTTCTTTGTTTTGAAGGTGAAAACCCCCCACTGACACCACTGTTTTTTGGTGGCCCTGACACCCACAGTCAAGATACACTGATCTAATGTGACCATATTTATTCAACTTTTAGTAAGAAATAAATCAGAAAGGTATCTTTTTTTTCTCTCTATACACAGCAGTAGATGTGAATGATTCAAGCAGTACATCTTCTGGAGAGTTCTATCAAAACACCAAAACCGACAAGGACAACATTCTTAAGTCACGTATGCACAAATAAATCATATTTCGGGTTCATTTGATATTTTGATGCACCTTCATTTGATTAATCCAGAGAGAACATGTCTAGATGTATGTGTCATAATATTAATTAAATAGTATGATTATTTTTATTACTGTGAATATTCCTAAAATACTAACAATCAAACAGTTTTCCTTTATGAAGGTGCGGAAACACCATCACTTCATGAAAAGTCACCATTGACACACCTGTCTTATGGTGACCATAACTCACCAGGAACTGAGAGTAACGGTAAAGCTGATTGAAGCCTCCGTGTTCAAATATTTCCCCTCTGAGAAGTTCCATTTTTTAGTAGGGAAATACATTTCAAATGAATAAACCCTGTTTTGTCTCTAGGAGTAGATGTGAATGATTCAAGCAGTACATCATCTGGAGAGTTCTATCAAAACGCAGAGACCGACACAGACAACAATTTCAAGTCACGTATGCAAAAATAAATCATACATTTAATCCAGACAGAGGGAACATGTGTAGGTGTATTTACTAATATTTAATCTTTTTCCCCCCTCATGAAGGTGAGGAAGCGGCATCGATGCATGAAAATTCACAGTTTGCACCCCTGTCTTATGGTGACACTGTGTTATTAGCAGACCCTGACAGTCAAGGTAAAGCTCTGATTTTAAATATTTCTCTCGCCTTTAAGGGTAAACAGTATCTTGTAGTAGGGGAATACATATCAGATTCATGAATTGTCTTTGTCTTCAGCAGTAGATGTGAATGATTCAGACAGTACATCTTCATTCGAGTGCTATCAAAACACAGAGATGGAGATGGACAAGAATCTGCACTGTGGTAGGCTCATATAAAGCAATTTAAAGGGACAGTTCACCCAAAAATGAAAATTCATAATTTTCTCACCCTCAAGTTGTTCCAAACCTGTATGAATTTCACTTCTTCTGCTGAACACAAAGAAAAATATTTTGAAGAATGCTTGTAACCAGACAGCTGAAAGATCCCATTGACTTCCATAGTAGGAAACAAATACTATTGAAGTCAATGGGGTCCATCAACTGTTTGGTTACCGACATTCTTCAAAATATCTTCTTTTGTGTTCAGCAGAAGAAAGAAATTCATACAGGTTTGAAACAACTTGAGGGTGAGGAAATGATGACAGAATTTTCATTTTGAAATGAACTATTCCTTTAAATTGAAGTTTGATGGGTATAATCAATGAGCATTCTGGGGATTCATTCCGTCAGCTAAACCTCAGGGATCTGTCTTCTGCAGAAGACGAGGAAAGCCCATCACTTCTTGAGAAGTCACTACAGACACCCCACAGCACTCAGATGACAGGAAACACTGCTGGTTACAGCGACTGTCATGTTCCTCGTGCCCACAGTCGAGGTACGATACCTTTTTGTTTTAACAATGCAACAATATTGACAACAGTGTATTTTGATAAGGAAGCGTGTGAATTCTTCTCTGCTTTGCAGATGAGAATGATTCAGACAGTACTTCATCAGAAGAGTGCTATCAGAACATAGAGATTGATGAAAACGCCTGTCTCCATTATGGTATGAATGAACCATCACAATAAATAAACATCTAAGACCACAAGTGAAAAATCCTTTGGTTTTAGATTTTTCTTATTTAATATAAATATCTTCATTATAATTGTATTATCAGCAAAATACTTTGAGAGAAATTCAAAACATGAAATCTGACATTTCATGTGACACATTCTATTTGACCTAGAAATAGTGCAGAATTTTTTATATTTTATTGTCATTTTGTCATGTTTCTTTGTTTTAAATACAATTATAAATATCCTAAAAAACCTTATTCCCCAGTTTAAATTACACTACGTTTCTAAATGTTTTTCTTTTTTGAAAAGAAATGAATACTTTTACTCGGCAAGGACACATTAAATTAATCAAAAAAGACAAATATTACAAAAGATTTATATTTGAAATAAATGATGTTCTTTTTATTTATCAAAGAATCCTGAAAAAAATGCATCACCGTTTCCACAAAAATATTAAGCAGCACAACTATTTCCAACATTGATAATAATAAATAGTTCAATAGCAAATCAGCATGTTAGAAATGACTTCTGAAGGATCATGTGACACTAAAGACTGGAGTAATTTGCTATCACAGGAATACATTATATCTTAAAATATAATGTATTCCTGTGATAGCAAATTACTCCAGTCTTTAGTCTTTAAACCAGTCTTTAAACCAAATTTTAGATTAAAAAGATTTTTTAAATATATTGAAATTGAACAAAAGTTGGGGGTCAGTTTTTACATGTTTTTGAAAGTCTCTTATGTTTGATAGACAGATATAAAAAAAATGTATTACAATTTAAAATAACTGTTTTCTATTTGAAATTGTAATACATTTTTTTTATATCTGTCTATCAAACATAAGAGACTTTCAAAAACATGTAAAAACTGACCCCCAACTTTTGTTCAATTTCAATATATTTAAAAAATCTTTTTAATCTAAAATTTGGTTTCAGATCTGCAAACCACTGTATATTTGACTTATCTGCATAATGCTAGTCGCACCTTTTAAACAGCTTGAGTCAAAAATAGTTACTACAATTGGTCTCTCTTGTTTTTGGAAGGTGAGGAAAGCCCATCACTTCCTGAGATGTCTTTTCAGAATCCCCACATTGCACAGACGACAGAAAGTACTGACGGTTACGACGAACAGCATGTAACTAGAAACCTCAGTCAAGGTACCTCTTGTACTTAACCATGTGACGATATTTCTTTGCACAGAGAGCTTCCTTTCTGAAATCACATAGCTCTTTTGTACAGCAACCTTGAACCTTAAAGCAAGCAGGATCAATTTGAAGGTAAAAAAACAAAAAAACACTGGCACGCCACTGACTTTATATTTATTCATCTCAGAAACAGATAATAGTAGTACAACATCAGAGGCATCGTACGTGAATGTACCATCTATAAAAGAGAGGGAGGACAATTCTGCTGGATCTTCTGATGGTGACTACGCTGACATTGAAACCTGGTGAAATCAGCATGATAAGTGCTAGAGGTTTTTCTCAGCAGGTAAGGTATCATTTTTTTTTAGAAAAGCACACATCATTATTTTTATTCTCTTTATTCTGTGGACAATGTTTTGCATTTAATATTTTGGGCAGATGATTCACAACAACACATCCCTGAAAACCGTGGAATGTAACACAAATGGGCCCTTGCAATACCTGAGTGTTTCTTATTATACCGGAAGAACAGAAAAATAAATCAGCATCGTTCATCTATATTATAATAAACATTCTAAACCATGATCAAGCATCCTATTATTTGTTAAATGTCTAAAAATGTAGCATGTGTATTTACAATATTTGAACACGTTACGTCCTTTAAAAAAAAAAAAGTCTATAATATAAACCCTCCACTGAACTTCATAATTCTAAGGGATAATGTAGTATAGTATCGACAAAGAGACTCACAATTACTTCACACACAAAACAAAAAACTGCACTCAAAGAAGAAAACAGAAAATAATTCTTTGCTATCCAGCCCTGCAAATTGCACAATATATATATATTTTTGAAAATGGCCAGCATTCTCTTATGTGAGGAGGGGAGCACACAACACTTGCTGGGGGACACAGATGAGATTTCAGAGGGAGAACTGTTGCAGACTCAAGTTCCTGCTTTGTGTTTGCCGCAAACCCACTTCAGCTGCTGTTGCTCCCTCAGGTCTGAGAGGGACAGGGCAGAGTGCCAGCTACACTGGCAGGCATACGCACGCACACCCTTTCTCCTCCTCAGTTTGGCTTTTAGTTTGTTATGATCCGGCATGTTGTTCCTAAAGAACGGGAAGAGAGCAGAAGCTTTGTGAGGATTTGAATATCACATCTCCAAATGTCCAATTTCAACCAAGAGCGCTCAGTTACACAATTCGGCTTATCTTTGGAAATTTATCACCGACTGCCATCAAACTTTTAAGAACTAATATCTTGCATGTGGGTCTGCTTCATCGCTTCAAATTGGGGGCTGGCTGTTCTGAATAAGAGGAAGAAAAAAGCTGTAAAGTCGAGTGGTTACCCCAGACTTTTTGTCCAGGTCACATTTCAACCCAGTAACATAATGAAAAATAAAAGCAATATTAGATATAAAAATATAATTAAAACCAAAAAATAATTTCTTATTATTTATTGCACACAAACAAAAAAATGGAAGCTTTTCTGCGACACTAGTGGCACCTAGCAGAATTAGAAAAATGAAGCATATTCGTTTCCGGCAGTTCAAATGTGGCTAATAGATCTCAAAAATATTGCACTGTTAGAATGCACAACAGCGAGAATTAATAAAGCCAAACCAAAAACACTTCAGGCATGGGCAGAATTTATTGGAAAGTTCCCCTATATAATATCTAGCAAGGAAGGAGCAGTTGGAATCCTAGATCTGTTCTGTTGAAAACCCTGGTTTTGTACATGGTTAATTTGTGTCATACATGTTGACCATGTTCTGTTTTGACGTGTTCGTGACCTGTATAATCTTTGAAAGTTTAAATGCAGTGAATTTTAGCTTGCACTTCTCTGTAACCAAAGCTGAATGTCTTTTCCTGTGCAAGGCCAGCCATGTTCCCACACCGGCTCCGCCTGGGGTTCCCCAAAGATAAACAAGTTCATGCTCAAGTGATGCGGTCTCTCTCCATATAGTTCATTAAAGACGATGTTCAATAGCATACGAAAGCCTCCGTGTCTGTAATGACTACAAGTAGCCACCACGCCCCAAACTCACGCTATTGGTTGAGCTGGATAGAGATTGACAGATGTGAGCGGACTGATTTCAATGTTTTAATGGTTCCTGGGAGGCGAAATGTTTACACTTTTGGGGGAGATAAATCCGTTAATGGCATAACTAATAGTAGTCAATGAACAATAAACTAGGTTAAGAGGTTTTCCCACAACAATAAAGCATATTCTCATATTCTGCGTAATTGAAATGCAGTTTTGAAGAGAAATATGACCTTGGGTAGGATTCTTCTATATACCTGGATATTAGAATAGAGCAACGATCCCGAAAAAGTGGTCTCTTGATGAGCTCTTATTTTACCGGTTTAAAAGGTGAAGCCTGAAGTTAAAGTTTTTAAAGATTCATTGACAAATTCCATCCACATGCTCTCCTAATTAAAGCTTGAAAATCTCGAAAAAGTAGATCATTAAAACACAAAGGCCCTTAGAGCTCGACTGTGTCTGAGCACGCAGCAAAGTGCATCGTGGCCTAAATATGGAAGATAACTACATAAAAGACATGGTGCGAATGATTCACTGTCTGTTTGATGCTAAAGTTGAGTGAGACGCTGCAAGACACTGTGCTGAAGATAATAAGGAAATGACGTGTCCGGCGGAAACAGGGTTTGCACAAAAAAGGTGGTGTGTTGCATTGTTAAACGCTTGTTGAAAGTATTTCTTTTATCAGCCCGTTCAAACATTTCATGAAGCTTATCTGCAAGAGGGTGACATGATGATTTCAACAAAGGCATCATTAACTGACAAGCTGATGCTGTGCAAAAAACGAGGGCTAAGTGAGCAGTGGGATACGTGGATCAATGCTGCCCCCTCCTGATAAAATTATGTTCCCTCCTGACATTTTTGCAGATACCTTACCTGAAAAATAAATAGTTGCAGGACGAGTCCCACTCATGATCGTCAAACATGAGTACGCTGAAGTCACAAGAGGTACATCTTAATCGGTTGCAGGCCCTTCAAAAACAAGAGTTCTTGTTACAGACTACAGTCAGAATACATTTGCACATCTAACTAAATCTGTCATGACTGAATTACTTGGTGTAATTTAATTTATGCATTAAAATATCATTAAAATATGCATGTGGCCCTCAAGTCCAGGCAAGACGGATTCTGATGTAATTTCCACCTTTGAGAAACGCTGGTTCCAATACCATGTAGTATAGAGCTCATACCTGTCAAGTTTTGGATTTGAAAATAAGGGAAATTTTCCGGCGCCCACCGCGACCAGTCCCACCACCCTAACCAAGCTCCAGTATCCCTTACATTTTAAGACAGGTGTTATAGCCTAAATGAAAACACACACACACATACACACACAAATATATATAGGCTATATACGTATAAATGTGTGTGTGTGTGTGTGGTATATATATATGTGTGGTATATATATATATATATATATATATATATATATATATATATATATATATATATATATATGTGGTTTATATATGTGGTTTATATATGTGCTATATATATGGTATATATGAAGAGCATTTATTTAAAGGCTTATTTGCATATTTTCTGTTCATTTAACATTGCTTGTCTTTACATTTACATTTTATTTTCACTCCAGACATTCTTTTCATTTCATATCGCTTTTCTTTACAGTTTTTCTTTTCATTTCACATAACTTTTGTTTACTCTTTTAGTGAGTAATTGTACAAATTTGTTGCAGACTTTGTATTCTTTAAGACTGTTTTGGAAGGAGTGTATTTGTGGGCTGGGCCAGAGTGGTTAATTTTACATGAGTGTAGAGCAAACAGTTCTGTTGTCTAACGTCATCCTATTCTCTGTAACAATATTTCGTACCATGCTAAACACCCTTTCTCGTGCTGACATATAATTCCTTCCCCCGTGTGAGATGCTAAAGTCGCAGTTACAAAACGCGTGACTGTCCCCCACCCTGCTCCTCTTCAGAAAAGAAAATTCACTGTCCCATTGATCGCGCCATCGCGGTATTTACATGTTTTGTTTTTTTTGGCAGGAGTGCCTTCCGTCTCTGTCATAGCGTCCATCATCCATCTCTGTTTTTGTTTGTTTTTCCCGCGTTGTCACCTATTTTTTACAGTCTATGGTTGTCACTCATCATCTGACCTCACACACTAACCTCGCGACAACTGCCACCTATAGTAGCCTACATGTAATTATCGCGAGGCTAGTGACAGAGCTCAGATTGGGAATGTTTTTTTTTTTTTTACTCCGTCCGGGGTATTATTATTTTTTACGCAGGTTAAAATACGGGAGATTTACGGGAAAATACTAATACGGGAGGACGGCGGGAAAGAAGGGTAAAATACGGGACTTTCCCGGCCAAAACGGGATACTTGACAGGTATGCTAGAGCTTCCACCAAGAAACACAGGGCAACATCTGTTTGAGGGGAAAGTGACAAGCGTTAGTCATTGACAACACGTCTTACATCTTGAATCTAGTTATGTTTCACATCTAAAATGCTCAATTTCTCCTGTATAACTTCTACATGCATGTGAAACCAAAAACGTACTTCTTGGGCATAGTCTGAGAAAAGGAATCACTTGTGGATGTCTTTCCTGAAATGGGTTCCTGCTTCAGATCATAAGAGATTGTTTTCAGATGATGAATGTGCACTGTCAACAACAACTAGCAATATTAATGCTATCCAGTGTTACTTGAAAAAAATAAAAGTATTGCTTTGTTCACTTACATCATGTGTGCTGATGGGTTGATAATCATCATCCAGAATTTCCTGCAGCATAGCGTCAATATCATCATTCTCGTGTTCAGCTCTTTTACCGCCTTGTTTTCTGGAAAACGTGGAAATAAAAATCAAACCGTTACAAATCTGACTTGGAAGAATCTGGTTTTGTTTAGATGTTTGAGACGATGTTAAGAATGCATTGATCAGACGTTGTTTTGTTAGCCTCCTAGCAAACATTTTTTTAAGCATTTTAGTCCGATTGCTAACATAAAAAAATCGTACATATGCAACGTATTAAAAGTGTCTGGCTATATTGTATATAGCCAAACACTTTACACTATACATTATTTGGATTAATTTTAGCTACGTTAGCTCGGGTGCTAATCCCGCTAGCTTACCACCTTGACTGTTTCTTGTCCTTGGGATTCACACAATTTTGGTCCGTTTGTTTTGAAACATAACTTGACTGTTTGGACGCCGAGGTGCTACAACAAAACTTTGATTCGACTTCATCAAGTAAATCGTCCAAATCATCCGCCATGATTATACGGTGGGGAACTGTGGTTTGTTACCATAGAAACGTGTGGATCATTTATTTGTTATCCTCTCAGAAAGGCTTCACTGGTTATATTTTCACAAAATCAACTTTAATGTCCTGTAAATATCCCAATCACGTGTTCTCCATGAGGACGTGACGCTTCCGAATCCGACTTGCTGGTTGGTGTAAAAGTTGTAGAAGGCAAAACGTTTCGTTGTCGGCAGGATTCGAACCTGCGCGGGGAGACCCCAATGGATTTCTAGTCCATCGCCTTAACCACTCGGCCACGACAACTCATGCTAAATAACGTGTATGCGGTCTGTCACTGTTTTTCAAATCAGAGGAAAAACCCCACATTAATTTGGAAGTACTAAAATATTCCAACGTCTTTTCTTGTACCTATTGGCACAAAAATGTGGCATGTTACGTTGTTGAACGCTGTTCAAAAATGTTTCTTTAACAGCCAGTCTAATTATTTAATAAAGCATATCTGTAAGAGGGCGACATGATGACTTCAACAAAGCATTAACTCACATGCTGATCCATATATAAAACTAAAGGATGCATAGAAGGCATTCTAAAGATGCCTCATCAGCTACAGAGTGGGATACATAGATCAATGCTGCCCCCTCCTGGTGAAATGATGTCCAATTCTGATATTTTTTGCATAGGTTAACTTAAAAGGTTCGTTCACCCCAAAAAGAAAATTCTGTCATTAAAATTAATGAATTTTCTTTTTTAGGGTGAGTTAACCTATAACTAGGTAATTTTACTCACCTTCAAGCAGTGGCGTAGGCAGAAATTGTATTTTGGGTGGGCCAGTGAAAATGTGAGTGGGCCTATAGTTTTTCATAGAAAAAAATGACTTCAGTAATAATTAACCTTAGAGAGTAGAAAAATGAATAGACAAACTGAAACTGCAAAAACAGTTACACCTTAATATTCGGCAAATCATCATGTTCAACCAACAGAGCTTAATAAAGGCTGGACAAACCAGTGTAGACAATAACCTGTCTATTTTATTCAGGCTAGTCAGCAGTGCAAAGACAGTTCACCCGAAAATAAAGTAAGCTAAAATAATAATATCGCAGTTAGATCGGCGGGTAAACCCACGTTAGGCTTATCGGGAGAGAGGGAGCAAGAAGCAGCCGCCACCAGCACCTGACTAGCCTTCTCCTGGGGTAATGAGTCGGAAGAACTGGGCTGGGTGGACTCGGTAGATGAAGGCAGTGGCGTGTCTTCTTCCTCAACTCTTGCTTTTTTCAAATAGCACATTAAAGAAAGTTGTTTAGCCATTATTGTGGCGCCGACGCCGCTGAGAGTTTTCCTGTCGGAACCCCCAGCAACCATAGCAACCAATAACGTTCCGGAGAGAGGCTTTCTACAACTTGCTTCGACAGTTCCATTTTATTCGGAAAACGAATTAAACACACACAGCAGTCAACAATAAATCAGGTATATATTAATATATTTTCTTAAATACATTTGAATAAAAATAAACTAAAAATGTATTTTTATCAAACTTGCCTGGGCGGGCCAGTGAGTAATGTGGGCGGGCCAGTGCCGCCCTGGCCCAATACTGGCTACGCCCCTGCCTTCAAGTCGTTCATCTTCGGAACACGATCGCTGTGGGATACATAGATCAATGCTGCCCCTCCTGGTGAAATTATGTCCCCTCCTGATATTTTTTGTATTTTTTGCAATCTGTTAATCAAGTGATCGAGTCTCTTCAGAAAATTTGGAATAAACCGCTTAAATTCATATCAGTTTAACAATCTCTATGGACGTTTTGAAGCATCAAAATGGAGCTGTCAATGGAGGGACAGAAATCCCTCAGATTTCATCAAAAGATCTTCATTTGTGTTCCCAAGATGAACGAAAGACTTTGGAACTTGGAACGACATGAGGGTTAGTGAACTATTCTTGAGTGAACTTAACTATCCCCTTAACATGCATGCCTCAGAGACAACACTATTTTTTTTACAGTCTATTTGCGGATCTCGGCCCGTCCGACTCCGGCTTCATACCACAGTAACGTTAATAAAACTTAAATAGCCTACTTTAGCTCATCCATGAACATGATTTCTGCCTGAGTCCGTCGGATTCCTTTGTGGAGACGACAACTCCCATGCATGCTCATTCACGGAGTTATCAAGATACGCCTTTGTTTTGAAAAAGTGACCTGTAGCGGCGAAAATTACATATTGTGCATTTAACATGATCTCAATGTGGACTTGACGCTTGGTTTTAACATGAACCATGCTCAACGCTGGTTAGTTCAAGTTTGAAAAAGGAAAACATTTCGTTGTCGGCAGGATTCGAACCTGCGCGGGGAGACCCCAATGGATTTCTAGTCCATCGCCTTAACCACTCGGCCACGACAACTTGATGACGATAGTAGGTCGGGCACTTTTTTCATCAGAGGGAACGCGCGCGTGTCTATGTATTTAGGCACGGTAATTTATGAGATGAGCAGAGGAAAATAAGTACATTACATTTATCTGTTTTTCTCAACTTGTTTCAGTGTGATACCAATGTGTTTTCTTGTACCCATCTTAGTTCTCTAACACAATTACTGTTGCCGAATGGGATGAACAGGGAAATCAGGGTTAGCACAAAAAGGTGACATGTAACGTTACCGGTTGCACCTAACAAAACTTGAGTTATTTGTATGTTTACGTTCCCTGACCCGGAATCGAACCCGATCCGCGACGGTGAGATACCAAATGCCCAATCCTAAATACCAAATTCATTTTCGACTTAGACTTTTAGTTTCAAACTTAGACTTTTGGTTTTCGTTTAAGACCTTTAGTTTTAGACTTTTAGTTTTCAATCTGACCCAATAATCCCTCCATAGTGAGAGCGCCGAATCCTAACCACTACTAGACCACCAGGGACGATAGAACATACACACATAAAATCCAGGATCTGCCCAGCAGCCCAGAACAACACTATCTTTGAATATTATAGAAGCATACACATAATATTCAGCAATATTATTGATCTGACTGTATGAGAACTGAACGGGTCGATGCTACTGTTCACGGTTTTCTACAGCGCTGCTTTATAGTTTAATTTTACTCATTTCAAATGTGATGATCTTTACAGTTATTAAACTGAAGTGAACCAACACTGAACTGACCTCATCAGAACAATGACACTTTTCTTTTTTAAGAGCTGCTTTACAGCTAAATTTAACTCTGTTTGCATCACTGATACGGTAATTTTCCTGTTTATTACTGTAAAGCTGCTTTGAAACAATCTGTTTTGTATAAAGCACTATATAAATAAAAGTGACTTGACAATACCCAAGTCTGAAATGAAGAATTCCAAATAACTGAAAAATCTGCAGATTTTTATTTCATTATGAGATAGTAAAAACATTTGCGGCAGAAAGTCAATAAATTACAACAAAAAAAAAATGTACAAAAATGTGGCTTATTTATGCTGGTCATTATGAGGAAACAGGTTTGCAAAATTTACTTTGCAGGAACACTCGGGGAACACACAAACCCTCTTTTTTATTCACAGTTTCTCTCAGCACATACTCGTTCACAAGAGTCTCAAATCCTGCCTGTTGGAACAAACCAGCCAAGTACTCTATAAGAAGAACAAATGAAAGAAAAAAGAAACAATACATTAACTTCAATGCAGTAAGACAGATGATCAAAAACAAGCAGTCTACACTGACCTCTTGAGAAGAAAAAGGAACGGGTCCCATCCTGTCTTACATAGAAATTCTTCCCCAGCTTATTGCCTGACTTAAACCTCAACATGGCATGATCATACAGTCCATAGTCCCTGAAGAGGACAATACCTCCTGGTCTTAATACCTGAGAGTTTGTTTAGGAAGGGGAAATTACTTCAGAAGGCAAAGAAACTGAGTTATGCAAAGACACATGAAACATCACCATCAGTCATAAGTTTACTTGTTTTAAATAAAAAGTTGATGCACTGTGATACCTTAAACCACAGATTGACCACAGCAGTACCTTAAAAATTTGTTCTAGGGCTTTCTGCATCTTTTCAGGATGAATTGCAGACAGAACAAATATCAATGTGGCTACATCCACTGTTTCCACTTGTATGGTGGCCTGAAGATCATCCTTAGTGAGGTCACACTGAAACGCAAGGCATCGCTCAGTGCAATACAAGGCATTTCGCTGCAATAATAATGAATAATAATCAATAAAGACAGAGTACATACAAAACAATTAGCGTATGAATGTGCAACATTATATGGCAGGAAAAAGTTAAAACTTAAAGGGTCAGTTCACCCAAAAATGATATTCAAGCCATCCTTGATGTATATGACTTTCTTTTTCAGCCAAAAGTTATCAGAGTTATATTAAAAATATCCTGGATCTTTTAAGCTTTATAATGGGAGTGAATAGTACCTTGTAGCTAAAAAAAAGTGCATCCATCCATCATAAAAGTAATCCATACGACTCCAGGGGGTTAACAAAGGCCTTCTGAAGCGAAGCGATGTGTTTTTGTAAGAAAAATATTAATAATTATAACTTTATAAACTGTAATCACAAGCTTCCGGTAATGTCTGTTTACGTGTTTATGAGAGAGTCTAGTTCTGACGAAGGATGTAGGAGTAGCGGAAGCTTAGGTGAGAGTAGACGCCTCTCACGGTTCAAACAAATAGGGTTGGGCAACAAACTCAAGCTAAATATCCAAATTCTCTGACATTTCTCTTTACAAATTCTCGTTTTAGACTTCTAATTCGTGACCGGTGTTTTGTTTTGCTCTATCCTCTGAGCTTCCGAGTTCGTCAATATGTCATGCGTTGGGTCAGATATCACTCTTCCGCCGGAACTATAGTTTATAAAGTTATAAATATGGATATTTTTCTTACAAAAACGCATCACTTCACTTCAGAAGACCTTTATTAACCCCCTGGAGCCGTGTTGAGCACTTTTAAGATGGATGAGTGCGTTTTTTTGTGCTTCAAAAAACAAGGTACCATTCACTCCCATTATAAAGCTTGGAAGAGCCAGGATATTTTTTAATATTACCTCAGATTGCGTTTGGCTGAAAGAAATGTCATATACACCTAGGATGACTTGAGGCTGAGTAAATTATGGGATAATTTTTACATTTTGGGGTGAACTAACCCTTTACATTGAAAGGAAACACAATTCCATCACTTTTACCTTCACAAACTCAACAGCTCGTGGAGAGAAGTCACAGGCATAGATGAAGATACTGAGATCCTCTTCTAGAAGGGGGAAAATACAGTTTCCAACCCCACAGCCAGCCTCCAACAACACCAGCTTCTGTCCTTGAGACTGAAAGAATAGAGAGCTACAATCATCCATTCGAACTCAAACATGTACAGCAAATGCGTGCAAAATCTTTTACCTCTCTGCAGTTTTTCAGTTCATCAAACTCTCTGGTGGTCCAGTGTCTGTCTTTGAAAAAGTTCGTCGTGTTTCTTTTATAAAATAAGTCCCAGTTTTTCTGAGCATCCGTTTCGAGTTTCTGCTGCTTGAAGTCTGAGACTAAGACCCGGTCACTCGTGAGTTTCTCCATCTCTTCTGGTGTCAGTGTCCTTTCACTCAGATCAGTGGGCTGATGGGGGAAAACATCTAACTCATCTGGCGAATCTAACTTACCTGTCACTGACATGACTGTTTACGCTCCTGCTCTTTATGATTAAAACTGACTGCGACTTAAAATCGGATGCTGTGAAATGATATCATAAAAGTCACAGCACGTTAATAAAAAAGTTACACACCGCCATCTCAATAAGACGCCCACAATAGTTTTAGATACTACATATACTTTACCTACCGATATATTAGGCGAGCTAAATGATTAAGAGTAAAGATATTGGCATGTTTATCTACGTAATACGAATGCTCACAGATGGAAAAAGTCGTAAATTGCCATCATTTACTAGACATCAGTCTTCTTGCTCGCGCAAATGCTACTGCGGTGGTGACGGACCACGATCATAACCGTCACCGCCACCTATTGGAGTGGATGAGACGCGCACAACGACCTAATAAACCTTTCAGCCCAATCTTCGCGAAAATGACAAAAACACTGTTTTTATTGGTATTAAGTTAATTACTAAACGTCTTATGATAACATAATTTTAACCTTCTAAATAAAGCAACTAGGGAGGATACATTAGAAAGCTTTATATGACAGAAATTTATAACACAATTTCTCCCCTAATTACATGCGTGTGTGTGTGTGTTTTATTTTATTTTAGAATTTATGTATGTTTATAATTGGAACCCTTAAAAACTCATTTATTCTTGAACATTATTCTTAAAGACTTATTGTTATAGTAGCTAATTTTGTAGCATTCCAAAACAGTGTATATTTTTTTATGTGAACAGCATAAACATAAATCATAATTCTGTTATTTATTACTTTTGTATATAATTCTGTATATTAGCTACTTTAAACACTTCAGAAATATCTATCTATCTATCTATCTATCTATCTATCTATCTATCTATCTATCTATCTATCTATCTATCTATCTATCTATCTATCTATCTATCTATCTATCTGTGTATTAATATTCACAGAGAAATTTAAATGTGGATATATAATAAATGAGGAATAAATCACATATTTGAATCTTTAAATGGTGTTATGCATCACCAAACATTTATAGCTAAGCTACTGTTGTGTTTGATGTATATTTATGCTTGTTGAGACAATAAATAAATTACAAACGAATACAAACTCAGTATTGTTTATTTGACATACAGGTGCTTTTGATTTCTGGTCAGATGGCTTCAACGGAAAGCTCAGATCCTGTTTATACAGACAGGCAAATCAACACTTTGTTCGGAGAAAACTGAAGTTACAACGTTGCAGCGAGAGTGTTGTTGCTCATCCAGCATGAAGAAAGCCAGTTCATTAGCCATTTACACCAATCAACATGCAGTCTCAGCCTCTGGCGGCAGGCACTGTCCGCGGTGGCAGTAAGCATGCTCATTTTTAATTTACTCAGCCCCCCCAAAAAATAAAAAAATACAGACGTTTATACAACAACTCTACTTTAATGTCTCAAAAACCTACATTCAAACCATGATACAGTGCTGTACCTGGACCCCCTTTAAAAACCATTCCACGGATCATCGGACATGCCCAGCCCCACTCTACACAGTTCAGCCTCAATCCAGCACCAGACCGGGCCCACGGGGGTGAAGGGTGCCCTCTGAAGGAGAAGTTCGAGGGGCGTCCTGACTGTCTGCAACTGTGTGGATGACGAGCGTCCCCTCTCTCATGTGCATATACAGTATACGTTTAAATTATACAGGTAGCAGCAACACCCCCTCGGCGAGGGGTTAAGAGAGTGAGGGGGTGACACGGACTGATAGGGGAAAGAAGAGCGGCAGCAGAGGAGCAGCGAGGAGCAGCATCTCTCTATACTGTTCCAGCGTCCCTGCTCTGGTCCCTCCTGCGACGGTGCTCTGTTTTGTTCCGGCTTTCCGAGTCCTCTCGGTCGATCGTCTCCTTCTCTCGTTCTCTCTTCCTTTCTCGACGGGCCTCGACGTTGTCTTTCTCCTGCAGGTTGAAGCGTTTTTTCTTCTCTCCCCGCCGCTGGCCTTTCGCTGGCTTACCTGCAAGGACAATTGGTCAAAATTGGACAAAAGCTATTTTTTTAAAACATTAAAATACAGTATAAATCTGTTTTTTTTGTGTGCAATTTTATCATCTGCCAGGTGAAAATCCGATCACTTAGAGAAGTAATAGAACACCTCTTCTAAAAAAAAATGACATGATCTGATGTATACAGTTCAAAAGTTTGGGGACAGTCATATATTTTTTTAAAGAAATTAATACTTTTATTCAGCAAGGATGCATCAAATTGATCACATTTGACAGTATAAGACATGTATAACATTACAAAAGATTTCTATTTAATAAATGCTGTTATTTTAAACATTCTATTCATCAAAAAATCCTGGGGGAAAAATGGTTTCCACATAAATAACAGCTGTTTTTAACATGTTTCTTGAGCCCCAAATCAGCATATTAGAATATGATTTCTGAAGGATCATGCGACACTGAAGACTGGAGTAATGATGCTGAAAATTCAGCTTTGACATCACAGGAATGAATTACATTTTTAAAATCTTTTAAAATGGAAAACAGTTCTATTAAATTGAAATTCTATTTAAAAATCGATTAAAATAATATGGTGCACGTTTAAACTTACAGTTTGGGGTGTGTTCAAAAGTAACAATCGCAATGTTTTTAATCACCACAATGTTTCCACTTCAGGGGAAAATGACTTGCAATGTTTTTGCTCATTAATCTGGAATAAGAGAAAGTATTGTAACCAGAAAAAGAGCACACACAATATGACCAGTCAGAGTTTGGCCGGCATCTGAGCTGATTTATTTCCCATACAGGCATGTTGAATCATTCTATCATTCTATTAATCAGGCTTTAGTGATTTTCCCATCATCCCTCATCTCTCTCCCTCTCCAGATGGAATTACTCATTCAACCTAAGATGACAATTGTTCTTCATTTTGGGCTGTTTTGGTTGGGAGACATCCCTTCAGCAATCATCACTTCTATAAAAGTATTTTTCATAGATTATTAAGAGTTTGATGGAATCCAGGTTGAAGACCCATTTATAAAGTTGTGAAACAGCAGAACCATCTGGTGGGTTGTGCGATTGGTTGCGTCTGGTCTACCACAAGATGACAGTCTTGTACAACAACTTTTTCCATTTCATTTGTCTTTCTTTAATACTGTCAAAGAATGGTTGATCAGTGTTAAAGGGATAGTTCACTGAGGTTTTTTAGTGAACTTTAAAACTAAAATTGAAATAAAACAAAGCTTAAACTAAAATAAAAATTCTAAATATTAATAAATACTAAAACGGTATATAAATAATATTAAGAATGAAAATGACATTCTAGTGTCGAGCGTTTATGGGAATATGAACGATAATAAATTTGAGTTTCTCACACAGCTACTTATTTCTTCAAAAAGAATATAGTGCAAATGTTGCATGGAATATAATTTACGGTGCTTCTTTTTGTGTTTTGGCTCTTTTTGGACCAATTTGGTCACGATGAACATTGTTGTACAGAGAAGTGAACATATCAAAGATTCCTCTTAAAGGTAGAGTCAGCAATGTTTTTCACAAACACTTTTTGTCATACATACTGGTTGAAACTCTCTTCACATTCTGATATCAATCAATAATAGAAGTGGTCTAAATATTTTTAAAAAATGTATATATATCTTCTGTGGAAGTCTTAGGACCAAGAAATGTTCGTCCAATCATTGCATTCAGTCCGAACGCAATGATTATGATTTCAAAGCTAGCTTGCTATTGCTAGCCTCTCTGAAATTGCCTACCCTACCTTTAACAAAAAATAACAGCATATGGTTTCAGAACAACATGAGGGTGAGTAAATTATGAAAGCATTTTCAATTAGACACTGGAAATGCAAAAAGGCAGGCGGCGTCCCATCAATTGCAGAGTCAGAGAATTTTATCACCATTGTGCTCTTGAGCAACCAGTCGGGTTTCTTCCAGGAACATGATTCCTGCAATTAGCGTACAGTACGTCTCTTTGGAATAAAACTGTCAAGATGAGCAACCCCGGTGAAGCCGCCCAGCTGAATGTTTAACAGCAGAATAAGCTGAACAACCGATTAGCACATCAAAAATAGAAAGACTTAAAATACAAATTCTTTATCTCGCCGTTGCTCAACGCTCACGGCTAGCCAATTTCCATTATTGTCAGAGGCTTATCGGTGGGGCACAGATGAGGATTGGAAAAGTGCTGAGGTGGACAGCCACCTCTCCCCCGCTTCTGCTCCCCCCACCCCCCAAAGCAGGCTCTATTAATCAGCCGGACTCTCTCCGGACTCCCTGCCCACTGCAACCCACTCTGACCCACACATTCCTGGGGTCTAGCCAGGGCGATAGGGGGCCACTGACGACTCTTGTTTTGTGACTGAAAGTAGTTCAGGAGGATGAAGTGAAATCCCCCTCCTCGACCTCTCGTGGGCTCGAGGATGTTGTGATTGTACTGTGCATTCTGAATGGGCTGACTCATGTACGGTGTCTGACCGATCAAATCTTACACGCGCGCGCGCACACACATTTCACTCGCTGTCGTCACCTCCCCTCTCGCCGTCTCTTTAAACACAGGAAGTTCCCCTTCACGCACACTGTTGTCTTTGTCGTGACGATTTGGAGATCAGTGGATTAGGCGTAATCCTCTGCCTTTCCCATAAACCAAGGCGCAACATGACCAGAGCGCTGTGGCAATTATTATGGAGATGTTTACTGCCACTCTTTCAGAGATGGAAGGCTGTCAAGTTTTTCAGTAAACAGTCAAGCGACGAAATGAATACAAGTGATTTCCTCAGCATGTTCTTGAGCATCTGGTCACCACTGCAGTAGCAGAGGAAATCCCAGAGGAAAATGTCATGGTTCAGAGGTTGCTTGTTCAAAGCTCATGCAAGAGTCCTAATGGAGTTATGTTACATTTACGTATCAATTTTGACACGAATAAGACAATTTATGTCATACAGTATAAAATACAGTGTCATAAAATTAAAATGGGTAGCATAGCAGATCATGTGGTCTCGAAGGAATTTTATGAGAAATCAGAAAATTGGAAACCCATGTGAGAATACTAGTCTTTTTCTCAGGAGCCCCATCTGAAAAAACAGAAAAGTTCCACTGGAAAAGTCTCCATTTGTTCTCCATTTAATCTCATTGCTATAGGAGAAACAATTGAGAAATAGATTTGTGAATTCTTCTTTTGGGATACTTCTTTAGTTTTAGAAGCCGGGTTCTGCCTTCGAAAAACAAGTGCATTTAAAATGTAAAAAAGGAGATAAAGTGCAAAGAATTAAAATAAGAATTAAAATAGAAATAAGAATTAAAAG